TCTGAATATCTAAAGTGCCAGGATTATCTGAACCTATTATTTTTTTTCTTTTTTCAAATACGCTTTCGAAAATACATAAAGCCCTTTTATAATCGCCTCGATTATAAAACATTAAACCTTCATTAATCTGAACGGATACATCATCTAATACCTCTTTTAACTGTTCGACTTCTGAAAAGTTATTATGCACTGCAGAAACTACTAGAGTTTTGTTCTCTTCATTACGAGCATTCATTATTGATTTTACTGTATCAATATCCTTTATCTTGTTAAGATCATTAATAACTCGAGAATCATTATTTTTAATATTTTTAAATGAGTCACGCAGTAATTGAAATAAGCGAATAATACTTTCATCTACAGTAAAGTCTGATGGTGTTTTACCATCAGAAACTGCATTATATACTGCACCGTTAGATAATAGGAGTTTTACAACTTTTAAGCGACAGAACTTAGCAGCATAATGTAGAGGGGTAAATCCCTTCTTATCAACTGGATTAGGATCAGCTTGATTTTGTAACAGAATATTGATAATCCTATCATAGCCTTTCCACGCAGCATAATGCAATAATGATGCTCCTTTAGCATTTTTGCCGTTAACGATCGCTCCTTTTTTAATGTAATGCTCAACTTTTGAAGAACCATTACAATTTACTGCCTTAAACAAATTCTTAGTGAATGTTAATAGATTGATAACGTTTTTGTCATTAGACATTTCTAGTGGTTTTCTATAAGAATGGTCAACAGCGTTATAAACTGCTCCATTTTTTAATAAAATTTGAATAAAGTCTTTATAACCGAGTTTAGCAGCAATATGCATAGGAGTTAAGCCATTAACAGCTTTAGCATTAACGTCAGCGCCTTGTGCTATCAAATACTTCGCAACTTCTAATTGATCATTTTCTGCAGCATAGTGTAATAATGTCCAATTATCTGCATTAAGTTCATTAATACTTAACCCCTTACTAAGGAACTCTACAGTATCTTTACAACCTTCTCTCGCTGCAATGTGTATAGGTTTTGAACCAAAGGCATTTATAGCATTAACATTAGATCCTATATCATCTACTAGATATTTTACCATCTCTAAGTTATTTCTTTGTGAAGCAATATGCAATATCGTCCAATCATCGTTACCTTTAGCATTTATATCTATTTTTTCGTAGTCCTGCAGTAGTAACATTTTAACCACTTCTAAATGACCATGTGCCACTGCTAATTCTAGAGGAGTTCTATTCTCATTATTCTTAACATTAATATTTGCTTTTTTATGTAGTAAAACTTCTACAACATTACAATGACCACTTGTTGCTGCCAGGTGTAACGGTGTAACTTTTTTGTCAGATCTATTATGAACATTAACGTTAGCGCCATGTGCTATTAAAATCTCAACTACTTCCTCATACCCCTCCTGTGCTGCAAAACATAATGGTGTTAGATTATTAATAGTTGTAGTATCAACATCAGCTCCTTTTGTTAACAGAACTTTTACTACATTCTTATGACCTTTAGTAGCAGCCAAGTGTAGTGGTGCAACATTTTCAGAATCTTTTATATTAACATCGACTTTGTGGTCTAGCAAAATTTCTACAATATCTGTGTATCTAGCAAGAACTGCTGATGACAAAAGTTCAATGGCTTCTTCATTAACTTTAACTCCATTTGATATAAGAACTTTAACGATTTCTTTGTGATTATATTTTATGGCAGAAAGCAATGGTGTCATGTTGTTATTAGTTCTGATATTAACATTGGCTCCATTTGCTGCCAGAATCTCAACGATTTCTTTATGACCTGCTGTCACGGCTGTATGTAACGGTGTACCATCGTCTTTAGCTGTTGCATTAACCTTAGATCGATTTTTTATTAGAAGATCAACAATGTCTTTGTGACCTTTCGCAGCAGCTAGATGTAACGGTGTATTACCATTATTAGTTTTTGCATCAACCTTAGCTTTTTTACTTTTTATTAGAAGCTCAACAATGTCTTTGTGGCCTTCCACAGCAGCTATATGCAATGGTGTAATACCGTCATCAGTTATTGCATCAACCTCAGTTTTTTTACTTTCTATTAGAAGCTTAACAATGTCTCTGTGGCCGTTCAGAGCAGCTAGATGCAACGGTGTACTACCCTCATCAGTTTTTACATTAACCTCAGCTTCTTTGTCTATTAGAAGATCAATAATGTTTTTGTGGCCTTCCAGAGCAGCTGTATGTAATGGTGTTACATTATTATTAGTTTTGGCATTAATTTGTGCTCCTTTTTCTATTAAAAGTTCAGAAATTTTCTTATGACCACTTTTTGCTGCACAATATAATGGTGTAATGTTATTTCGATCTTTAGCACGAATATCAACACCATGTGTAAGTAGAGCAACAATTATTCCCAGATGACCATTCTGGGCAGCAATATGCAATGGAGTTACACCTGTAACAGTGGCAATACTAGCGATGGCATTATTTTCCAGTAGAGCCTTAACTATTTCCTCGTGCCCATCTTTTGCTGCATAGTGCAAAGATGTATTATTATCGATTTTGTCAACAGCATTAACATCAGCTCCATGCTCCAATAGAATATTAACTATCTTCTCATGACCTTTTTCTACTGCACAGTGTAATGGTGTAAAACCTGCACTTATGCCGCTGGCGTTAACATCAGCTCTGTTTTCGATTAAAACACGTACTATGTCCAAATGGCCATTTAATGCGGCTAAATGTAATGGTGTCAAATCTTCATTTATAACGTTAACGTTTGCCTCATTTGCAAGCAAGACTTTAACTAACTCTAGATAACCTCTCTGTGCAGCTGCGTGCAACGGGATTAAGTTACCTATAATTTCATTAAGCATTTTATAAGCATTTTCAGTTTTTTCCAATAAAATCTTAGTAACATCTATATGATTATTCATTATTGCATAGTGTAAAGGTGAAAGACCAATTTTATCTCGGGCAATAGTATGTGCTTTATTATTATTTAATAAAACTACAACAGTATCCTTGTGACCTTTTTGTGCAGCGACATGTAGTGGCGTTTTGCGACTATTATCTAAATCATCAATATATAAACCTTTCTTTATAAAAAATTCTACAATATTATTCCTTCCATGCTCAGCAGCAATATGCAATGGGCTTTGACCATTAATATCTTTCACATTATCGCTTAAATTTTGATCAAGAATAAATTCTATAATTTCAGGACTGGATCCCTTAGCAGCAAAATGTAACGTGGTCCATGAATTAATACTTCTAGCATTAATATCTGCACCTTTTTTGAGACAATCCTTTAAGTTTTCTAGATTTCCTTCTTCCAAAGCAGTAATCATTTTTTCCTGATTAACAATGATATCTAGGTCTTGTTCGTATTTCTTTCTCAACCTCCGAGAATTATCGCTTACTAACTTGCCAATTTTTTTCTTGCTTGTTATTATATTTTTTTCAGTAAGTTTTTTAGCGTTCAAAATAAGTCCTATTGAAGGATCAAATAACAGTAAATTAACTAGAGCATTATCATGTGCTAAATGATTACGTAAACATGTTCCAATTAATATAGGAGTGTTATCATCTAAAAAAAATAGATTATTTTCCAAGTAATCCTTTAAGCTACCTAAAATTGACATTATATCCAGAACAAGCATTTCTACTACTGCTTGCAATTTTTTATCACGCTTATACAAAGGTAATTTTTCAATTAATTGGCCACTCAATGCGTTATGGCTTAAAATATTTTCCAGTTCAGATAGTTTTAGTTTAAGCTGGTTATTATATTCTTTTTCTGTTATATTGTAAGTCTTTTCTGGTATAGAAGTAAACGAAATTTTTTTATTCAACTTTTCCCATAATTTCTTAATCCATTTTATGTCACTTATTTCAAATTCAAAAATATAAAAAAAAATTTCGTAAATTAATTTATCAAGATTGTTATGTTGAATTCTTGGCTCAATACTACGATAAATTTTTGTGAACAACTTAGCAATTTTTTTAAGGTTATTAGACTTTGTTTTTATAGTCATATTTTCTAATATTCTATTAGCAATAAATTTAATTCCACTAATAACGTTGTTTTCAATCTTTAATTTTTCACTCAAATTGATTAAGCCTTCCATTAGTTTATATCCTGTGATATAATCAGTTCTGATATTTTCTGATTGAGGTTCTACACAATGGATTATGTCATTAATTTCATTAAATAATTTCTTTTCATAATCCGTCTTGTCAGTTATATTATCGCTTAATTCTTTAATGAGTTTTTCAAGTTTCTCGTATTCCATCATTTTAAAATCTGCCGATATCATTTTATCCAATTTAACATTACTAAATATTTCAGCAATTTCTTTTATCTCACTGCTTGAGCTGTTACTATCAGCAATTCTTTCTAGAAGCATTCTAAGCGTTTTAATTTTTTTAGTATAAAGAATATCAGTAATTACAATATCAATTTTTTTAATATCATTTTGAATACCAGCAAAAAAACTAAAATCTGTATTTTTCTCGATTTCTTTTCTCTTGAGGAGTGAATCAGCATGTGATAATGAATTACGTAAATCTATAATTACTTCTCTTGTAGTTTTGTTTTTTTTTGTAACTTGTATTTTTTGGTAACGATAATAGCAAAAGTTCACTTGTAGTATTAGATATCTTAGGGGATTCTAAAGTGTTTTTTAAATGCTCACCGATAACCTGTAAAACCCTTGTAATAATTAACTGTCCATGATTCTTTTTAGAATCAGCCGATAACGCCAACTTTATATATTCACTTATTTTCATTAAAGAATAAATATCCCTAATTTGTTGATAATCGTTATACAATTCTTTAAATTGAGGATCTGTGCTAATATCTGCAACAACTTCCTCGCGTTTTAAATTTGGAAGTTTATTAATGTTCACACTTTCTTTTTCATCTTTAAGTTTTTCTTCTTTAAGTTCTTTTTTTTCATCTTTAAGTTTCTCTGCAACAACTTCCTCGCGATTTTTTTGACGGTTTTTTTTTGGACGTTTTTTCGGACGTTGTTTTTGAACGTTTTTTAATGTTTTTAAATTTGGAAGTTTATTAATGTCCACACTTTTTTCTTCTTTTTCAAGTTTTTTTGCAAAGTTTTCTAAGTAATTTAATATTTTGCTTTTATTCAATGTAGCATTATAAAATAGATTAATTTCTTCTTGTTTTGTGTGAGAAAAAACAAAACTGAGTAAACAAAATTCCATTTCTTCCCAAGGTAATCTATCATAGGTTGATTTCAACTGCCGCTTTAATATATGAATATTTTGTACGATAAAATTTGCTACAAATAAAAATTTTTTATCTACTTTTTTCGTGTTTGAGTAATCTTCCTTTAGCATATAAATGTTTTGAAGTGTTAATTCAATTCGTTCTCTGATGTTATCAGGACAACTCTTCACATTCTGATCGTCACATTCTGGTCGAGAAGTATTGGAGAAGAAACGGAGGTCTGTTAACTTATCTTGAACAAAAATTTCCATTTTATCTGACACTGGTACATT